ATTAACCATTTCCTTTTGGTACAGTGACTTTGTGTACTCCTTCCATGTTCTCTCGATGCTTTCTGCATCATTCAATAGTTTGCCTAGAGAATCTTTCAATAATGAAAGTTGAGGCTTGAATTTTTCCTTCAGTTCCCCCAGCTTGAGAAATGCTGAGCGTATTCTTCCTTTTGGTTTTCTGATTCCAGATCTTTCCACATTTTGTTGTAATATTTGACTTTATCTTCTCGAGCTGATCTTTGAAATTTTCTGTTCAGCTCTTGGACCTCCTCATTTCTTCTAGAGGCCCTTAAAAAGGAGCACTGGTGAAACACTGATTAAATCACTCTACTGCCAACCAAAAGATCAGCAGTTCAAATCCACCAGCTGCTCCAAGGGAGAAAGATGAGACAATCTGCTTCTGTGAAGATTTACAGCTTCTCTGTCCTATAGGGTCGTTATGAGTCAGAATTGACTCAAAGGTAGTGAGTTTTGTTTGGTTTCAGAGGCCCCTTTAGCGATTCTTAATCAAATCTGCAGAGTCCCTGTTGCCATTTAAGGCAACCTATTCCCGAATTCTAGGGATTAGGTTGTGCACTTCTTTGGTGTTGTTGCTGTGTGTTGCCCAGTTGGTTCCAATTCATAGCATACCTCTATAGGGCTTCTGAGGAGCGGCTGGTGGGTTTGAATTGCCGACCTTGTAGTTAGCAGACAAGTGCTTTTCCTTCAGCGTCACACCAGCACCTCTTTGGGAGACCATTATTTAACCTGCCACAATTAGATAAGTTCACCCTGATTTTACAGACAATGAAAGTAAGTCTCAGAGAGGTTAAATAACTCATTGAGAGTCACAATGGGTAGGTCTGGGGCCTCATTCAGCCCCTCTGATTAGTGAGCTCTGAAGGAAGCTCAGACTTAAGCTTAGCCTGCTGGCCCTCTATTCTGGGAGCCCTGTGGACAGCTGACTGTTGAGGGCCGGGAAGGGGGAGGGGGCGGAAATACTGACAGCAGGTATTTATTGATACCTGCAAGGCACAGTGTGGGGTGATGGGGACCCAGTAGAGAACAGGGTGGTTCTACACTCTGTCTTCTTGGAGCCAGATAGACATGGATACAAAGAGCACATTGATAATTGTATAGTTTCAGATTGTGATATTTGGGTAGAGAAAAGTGCACGATGTGATTGTAAAAGGGCCACCTAATCTGGTCTGGTTGGGCATGGGAAAGAGTCTCTGAGGAAGTGACTGTGCAGAGACTTGAAGATTCAGAAGGAGTCGGTGATGGTGGGGCACGGGGTGTGGGCAGCGTAGCACCACCCGGGTGGAGTGTTACAGCTCAGGGAGCAGAGGGTCAGCTGTAATGACTGAGAGGCATTCTGAATGAGGAGTAAAGTATCCTGGAAGCTGCAGGCCACTAAGGGTGTGTTCAGGAGCTGGAATCTCGTCCTAAGTGCAGTGGGACCCCATGGGAAGTACTGATGAGATTTCAGAACATGGCCTAAGTGTCTAAGCCAGAATGCATGTCAGAACTTGAAGGGACTCTTGGAAATGTATGCACTTGAAGGGACTCTTGGAAATGTATGCACTTTTCTTAAAATAATATTCTAACACTGCAGCTTCAATTAATGAAATAATGAAATAATTAAAATGATTCTATTACATTACTTATATACATACAAACATGACATTAAAGCCAAAAGGAGTGTACAGGTCCCTCTTTCCTCCGTCTTGGAGTCTGTAGAGGACTGCTGGGAACAGGACTCCAAAGTCGGCACTATGACTGAAGGCTGTGGTCCAAGTCCATTTTTGCTGGTTATAAACAGGGTCTCCAGAACCAACAGGAACATACAGCTCTTCTTAAAATTGAAGGTGTTGATTATACTCGAGATGAAACCAAATTCTACTTAGGCAACAGATGTGCTTGTGTGTACAAAGCAAAGAGCAACACAGTGACTTCGGGCAGCAAACCTAACTAAACCAGAGTAATCTGGGGAAAAGTAACTGGCGCCCATGGAAACAGTAGCATGGCTTGGGCTAAATTCCAAAGCAACTTTTCTGCTAAGGCTATTGGACACAGAATCTGTGTGATACTGTATCCCTAAAGAATTAAAATTAATGAAAAAGAAAAAAAAATGGGGAATTGGTTTAAAAAAAAAAAAAAAACGGGGGAAGTGTACAGGTTAAATATATATAAAACCAAATTCAATCAATCCTAGTTAAAATATTCATTATAAGTATTTCCTTTGCTGGAGCTAAGTCACTGTTTGTGCGTGGCTATGAGATTCCTCTGGCAGAGATATTTTTGATTTTCCTCTTTACCTTATTGGAGTGATTGCTTGATTCTCCGGCCAAAATGTCCCTGTTAGAAGAACTGTGAAACAATATTGTATACATAATTGGTTTTCATTTGGTTCTAGCTCATTGTTTACCTGTTAAGTATATTTCTATTCCTCTTACTAGTCCAGCGCAGTAAAAGGAGTAGAGCTGATGTCTAGTTAGTGTTTAACAAGCTACAGATGCTGGCGCTAAAGTTGTAGCAACTGGAAGCATATGTCAGCTCTCTGTTTGGAAGGTGACTCAACAGAGGTTTATCTTAGTATTGTTTTAGATTATTCTGAAGTGAAAACACTAATTTAGAACCCTCACAGAAAACTAGCTAGTCTCTCAGACATAGCCCAAGCCCTGCAGGAGCTGTAAAGAGATGAGCACATTGCACTGATGAGAAGACCAAGACTTGGAGAAATGCAGTGTCTCTAGTCACTCGGTGTTAGAGCGATACACTAGGATCCAATCCCAGGCTGCTGACTCCCAGTTCAGCATCCCTTTGTGCTGTGATGCTGAGGTACATCTTCAACATCAGACCTGTCCTGGACCTCATTCAGCCCCAACCTCTGAATGGGCTTATCCAGATCCCTTTTTAATCCATCCCATGGAATTGGCATGATGGCCATTCTCTGCCTTCCAAACCCCTCCTTACACAGGCCCAGTGCCTCCTCCTGGGTTATTTTCTTGGAATCTGGCTGGACAAACCTAACCTAAGGGTGGTCTTTGTTGTTGTTATTCAGTGCTATGGAATTGGTTCTGCTTCATAGGGACCCTGTATAGGGTCTCTGAGGAGCGGCTGGTGGATTTGAACCACCAACCTGCATTTCAAATCAACCTTGTGGTCCAGTGCCTAGGTACCTCTTAAACCATATTAAAATTCTTTCCCCTTTCAATTCTTTCTCTTAACTACTCACCCCATCCCTTCCTTTTCTTATAGGCCAGGCCTATATAAATGTACTTCAGGACATTTATCAAGGAACTCTGGTAGCATAATGGTTACGAATCAGGCTGCGAACCTTAAGGTCAGCAGTTCGAAACTACCAGTTGCTCCGTGGGAGAAAGATGAGGCTTTCTGCTCCCGTAAAGATTTACAGCCTTGGAAACCCTATACAGGGTTGCTATGGGTCGGAACTGACTTGACGGCACATAACAACAACAACAATGATATTTATCGCCTACTTGACAAGGCATGTGACCAGGGGTAGTGAGAAGGCTCCTGAGTTAATATGGTCCCAGCATTGAGTACCAGTATGTTGTTATTGTTGTTAGTGGCTGTGGAGGTGATTCTGACTCATGCTGACCTCCTGTGTAGAATAGAACTGCTCCATAGGGTTCTCAAGCCTGTGACCTTTTGGAAGCAGATCACTGGACCTGTCTAAGGAGCCTCTAGGTGGGTTTGGACTGTCAGAGTTTCAGCTAATAGTCAAGTGCTTAACCATTTGTACCACCATTAATATGATTGGAACTATTTTTTACCATTTCGTCAAAGACAAACTTGAAACACTGTCTCAGAATGCAGGGAGAAAGACTAGAGATGGAAAGAAAATGATACTTGTTTGCAGAAATGGTTTAGATTTCTTGTCTGTGTCTGACCTACATCTTTACAGGGGAGGGGAAGGATATCACCAGTATCAGTCCCTGCCAGCCCTCCTACAGCACTCTGCTTCTCTGCAGAGATCAGTAATCCATTGCAGTAGCCACACCAAACTCACAGATAGTACTGAGGTTATGGGGTTTATTAGGAAAGTTAATGGTACAATTGAGGATTAGAAACAACTCAGGAGTCAGCGGTTCTGTGGTCAGGACTGCCTCTTCTCTTATCCTGGGTCTTCCAGTCCTTGGGCTCTGCCCAGCTCAGGCAAGTGTCACAAGGTCCTTTAACACTGCAGGTAAATTCCCCAGGGCCTATTTTGCAAGCTTGCTTCTTGCCGAAAGGCACTCTGCTGTGCTTGGTCCATGGACCAGAAAGTCCACTTCTTTCTCTCCAATCCTTCTATCTCTGTTGCCTCTGCTTTTCCATACAAAGATCTCACTCATTGCTTGTGTATCTTCTTTCTTGATGGTCCTGGAATCATCTGTTCCTGCTTCAGCGCTAACTCCTTTGAAAACTAACGGGATGGCAAAACTAGCCATTCCTTGAGTTACAATCTTGTACACCCTATTTGCATGATTGGTCCCACCCAACCATTTGGTGCAGTTACAAAGACTATATATATATATGCCATATCAAGTAAATTCACTGTTGTTGTTAAGTGCCGTGGAGTCAGTTTGAAACTCATAGTGAACTTGTACAGGGTTTCAGAGGAGTGGCTGGTGAGCTTGAACCACCGATCTTATGGTTCACACTGACCTTGCAATCCAGTGCATTAATCCACAGTACCACACTAGGACTCCAAATTTATTGTATAACACAGTTTCAGAGTGTGCAGGGGAAGACAGAATCCCCACTGAATAGTTTTCATCTTGTCTAGACAGGTCTGGTGAAAGGAGATGTGGAAAAGATTCTTATGATTCAGTAGTGAATAATTGTTATTATGACTAATTGTGATTGTCACAACTGTAAAGACAGAAGGTTTGTAACAGAAACTGGGGAGTAGGAAAATACAAAATGTAGCAATCCTAAATGGGACAGAGGTAAATAGTGATGTATGCTCAACCTTGGAACAATGGGACTCTGTGATACAGGGATTGAGGCATAGTCTGAATGGGTAAAAGAGGAGAAATAATGTTAAGATGTGGAAAAGATTCTTATGATTCAGTAGTGAGTAATTGTTATCATGACTAATTGTGATTGTCACAACTGTAAAAGATAGAAGGTTTGTGACAGAAACTGGGGAGTAGATAATCTTACAGTCTAGGAACAGAGGACCCTAGGACCATCAAGGGAGAAGAGCAAAAGCAGAAGGCAGGACCCTATCCAGAGAAGCAGCGATACCAGAGATGGAGGCAGAGATGAGGATGTGGAGAGAGGGAGCAGCTGAGGACTATAGACTCATGGAAAGAGAATGGCTGTGTGCTGGTAGCCAGGAGGCAGGCTTGCAAAATGTGCCCTTTGGTTGTTTTTTTTCAATTATGATATATTCCTGAATATTTTTGTGTACATCAAAAAAACCCAGAGAGAATAGAAGCAAATACTGTTGAATGATGACACATGGAGGGGATTGTAATCATTGCAATGAAATACGATAGGATGAGTGTAGAAATGATGTTTTCCCATGTAAACTGTCACTCAATTCACTATAAAAACTTAAACAAAATGTAGCAATCCAACCTTGAACAGATAGTGTTTTTTCAAGTAGACCAACGAGATGAAAATCAATAATTAAAATGAAAAAACAAACACACAAGTTTTGCTAAGCAACAGAAAAAATGAATTGGCTGATTAAGGTTTTTCACTTGATCCAAGTAACATTGTTATTGTCGCTAAGTGTTGTTGAGTTGGTGCCGACTCATAGCAACCCTGTGTAGGATTCTGAGGAGCAACCGGAGGGTTTGAAATGACAACCTTGTGGTTAGCAGTATGGTACTTATCCTACAAACACCACACCAGGACTTCTAGAATACTGGAATAAGACAGAGGCATGGGTAGACATGCAGTTTAGCTAAGGACTTATGGGAAATAATTGTGTCAACAGTTGATTCTGACTCGTAGTAGCCTTGTATGTAATGGAAGGTAGGAAATGGTTCCCAGTCCCATACTGTCTTCATGATGGTTGGTGTGTTTGAGTCCGATGTGCCTATTGTGTTAGCCCAACTCATGGAGAATTCCTTCATCTTTGTTGGCTCTTGTTACTAAACATGATGTTCTTCCCACCACGTATTGAACTGGGTTAGGCTAGAAGATAAGCCCCTTGATGCTGTAAACTTTGAATTTGAGGTTAGGAATTGTAGTTATTATTCACGGACCAGGCTCAGTGAATGTTATTGAATTATACTGATGTTCAGATGGAATTCCAGTGTAAATGTGTAGCTGTCCTCCCTGACCGGTCTCTTGCCCTAACTTGCCTTGTGGTTCCTTCTCATCAGGCCAAGTGTAGGAACATGGAGCATGCACTGCGGGAAAAAGCCAAGGCCTTTTGGGCCATGCGTCGCTCCTACGAGGCCATCACCAAGCACAACCAGGTAAGTGAGGCTCAAGCCAAATAGGAAGTCTGGGGACACCCAGGGAAGTTGGGGAGAGCCTAGGGTGTGACTGAGTCACCATCAGGTGATTGTTGGTACAGAGTCTGTTCTCTTGAGCTCCGATGGTGTCCTACAGCTGAGCCTTTGAAGCTGTCTGTGTCTACTCTCTCTTGGCCCCTTAATAGGCCTATACTTGTCCATGCAGCAGCCAGGGGAGCAGCTTACAAAGCCGCCGAAGCCGAATGAAGAATCATTTAAAGCACATGTCATACTTTACCATCTACCCATGTTCAAGCTAATGACGACCTGGGTGTCATCATTTCCTCTCACTCCCATTGCCACTGCATCTGTAATCCTGTCTCCCTGTCTCTGAAATATATTATGTGTGCTTAGCACTCTCCATCTCTGTGGCTACCATCCCTGTCCTGGGCACCATGGCCTCACACCTGGTTGTGCTTGGTGTGATAGCCTCCTATGTGTTTTTGTGTTCTGTAGTCCGCTCTCCACAGCCTAAGAGGCATTTTAGGAAAATGTATTATGTCATTCCTCCGTTTAAAACTGCCTGTCACACTCAGACTCCTGACGATGATCTCTAGGGCCATCTTCTATCCCCTGCCTGCCACTTCAACAAGCTGTGTCTCTTGTTCTACTCCTGTCACACTGGCTGTCTCTGCACCTTAAACAAACGAGCCCCTTAGCAACTTCTCCTCAGATCCTCCCATGCTTAGCATCTCAGTCAATAAAACCTCAGCTCACATGTCCTTCCTGTAAAGCTTTCCTCAATCACCCTGGCCCGGGTAGCCTTCTTTGTCACTATCATATCTCCTCCCTGCTTTATTTACTTCATAATACTTCATTACCTATTTCATCTTTTTTGTAAATCTCTACCTTTGTATCGGAGCCCTGGTATGGCGCTGTGGGCTAATGCGTCAGACTGCAAAGTCGTTTGAACTGCAAAGTCAGTGGTTCAAGCTCACCATCTGCTCCTTGGAAACCCTATACAGGGTCACTATGGGTTGGAATTGACTCAATGGCACTTAACAACAACAACTTTTGTATCAGGATATAGAGAAAGCAGGGCACACTATTCCCAGAATCTAGAAGAGTTCTTGGCACATAATTGTTGTTAAGTGCTGTGGAGTTGGTTCCAACTCATAATGATCCTGTAAGAGGTTTCCGAGGAGTGACTGGTGGGTTTGAACCACCAGCCTTGCAGCACCACAGCAGGACTCCGGGCACATAATAGGTGATCAGTAAAATGTGTGTCTACTCTGTCCTCTTTCACATGGGCACCCTCTCTTCATCTGAATCCTAGGTGGATTGACAACCTGGTTCCTGACTTTGTGTCTGACTCTGCTCTGTCACTTCCTGAAGCTCTTGCAGTCGGGAAATTGTTGAGCTTTGCACTTTAATTTGACTTTGTGACCAAAATCAAGCCACTGGATTGCCTTGTTAGGAGCCTGGGGGATATCCATCCTGTCCATGTTGCAGTGACTTGTCTGCCTGTCCGGTCTTGATGGAAGGCCATGGTGGCTCAATGGTAGAAACCTCACCTTCCCTGTAGAAGACCCAGGTTTGATTCCTGGCCCACTGCCCTTTGTGTAGCCACTACCCATCTGTCAGTGAAAACTTGTGTGCAGCTGTGATGCCAAAGGGCTTTCAGGGGAGCTTGCAAACTAAGCTGACTAGGAAGAAGAGCCTGACCAGCTGCTTGCTAAAATCGGCTTGTGGAAACCCTATGGATCTCAGTGGTCCAATCTTACTGAACATGGGGTTGCCAAGACTTGGGGCTTTTCAATTCTTGTTATTGTGAAAACTCCAAGGATTCCACTTTGATTCATATTATCCTCTTTGATTAACCCACTTTGATAAACAGAAGGAAAGTTTTGGTATTTACTCCTATATTGTGAGGCTAAGGAGCCCTGGCAGAGTTGTTGTTGTTATGTGCCATGGAGTCGGTTCTGACTCATAGCAACCCTGTACAAGGTTTCCGAGGCTGTAAATCTTTAACGGAGCAGAAAGCCTCATCTTTCTCCCGCGGAGCAGCTGGTAGTTTCGAACTGCTGACCCTGAGGTTAGTAGCCCAATAAGTATCCACTACACTGCCAGAGCTCCTTTCTGGCAGAGTAGTGGGTTATGAATTGGGCTGCTAACTGCAAGGTCAGTAGTTTGAATCTGCCAGTTGCTCTGTAGGAGAAAGCTGAGGCTCTCTCCTCCTGAAAGGATTTATAGCCTCGGAAACCCTATACAGGGTTTGCTGTGAGTCAGTAGCACCACCACCATTGTGAGGCTGTCCTTGGCAGCTGTGTAGGTGGCTGGAGTTTACTCTGCACTTTCAGGTATGTCCTGCCTTGCTCTGTTTTTTATCTTTCAGTGTGATACAAACTTGCCCAGACTTTACTCTCCCCAACACTATATTGGAGTTCTGGTACTGTAGGATAAGCACTGGACCACTAAGTTGGTGGTTCAAATCCACCAGCCATTCCTTAGAAACCCTATACAGTAGCACTAAAAGTCGGAACCTACTCAATGACAATATCAGCAAATCCATTCAGCCTGTGTCTCAAACTATGTACCTACTCATAGAACACTGTTGATCCAAGGTGTGTATGTATCACTATTTACCTCTATCCCATTTAGCCCATGCATACTTCCTGAGTCTTCCCCTATCTTCATTAAGGATCAGCCACCCTTCCTCTTCTTTGTATTTATTGCCTTCCCCTGTCATATATTGCCTGCCCCGTCACCTGAACTAACATGAGTTTACCCTTTAGCCAGTGAATTACTCTCCCCTCCCACCCACTCCTGAAAACCATCAAAGAATGTTTCTTTCAGTTTGGAAACTTCTTTAGCTTTTGCAATATAGCGTAGTGGTTATGAATTGGGCTGTGAACCGCAAGGCCAGCAGGTCGAAACTACCAGCTGTTCCACGGGAGAAAGATGAGTCTTTCTGCTCCCGTAAAGATTTACAGCCTCGGAAACCCTGTACAGGGTCACTATGAGTCGGAACCGACTCCACGGCACATACAACAACAACAACTGTTTAAAGACTAGATCATTGTCCTTGGAGGGGGTTATAGGACTATAGTTGTAATTTTCAGGCAGTGATTTTGCTTTATTTTACTAAATCATTATCATTGTTGTTGTTGTTGTTAAGTGCCATCGAGTCGGGTCCGACCCATAGCGACCCTGTACAGGGTTTCCGAGGGTGTAAATCTTTACGGGAGTAGAAAGCCTCATCTTTCTCCCGCGGAGCGGCTGGTAGTTTCGAACCGCTGACCCTAAGGTTCGCAGCCCGATTCGTAACCACTACGCTACCAGAGCTCCTTAAATCATTATCATTATACTATTTGAATTCCCCACTTATAATTTGAACTTAAAAATGTGTGCTTATAAAATACTACCCCATGTTTTATCTACAGTAGCAGCAACAATGTGCACAAACATAACAGTTGCGAGGCTAGCAGGACGCAGCAGTGTTTCTTTCTGTTGTGCAGAATAGGGTTACTATGAGTTGGAGCCAGCTCCGTGGCATTCAGCAGCAGCAGCAACATCTTTTACCTGCTGGGGTCCTACATACGGTTTCTTTTGAAATGAGTGTTCTTGTGTTAAAAATCGGCACTTGGTAATTGCTGAGATTCCATGTCTGACCTTCTGAGGCTTGAGGGCCTTCTGCTCCTTCCCGCTGTCTGCCTTAGGTGGAGACTATCTGGCTTGAAGGTCGAATCCGGCAGGAGTTTGATAAGCTTCGAGAGTTCTTGAGGGCAGAGGAGCAGGCCATCCTGGACGCTGTGAGTGAGGAGGCAAGACAGAAGCAGCATCTGGTGGAGGAGAAGATGAAGCAGCTAGCAGAAGAGACCGAGGTGTTGGCACATGAGATTGAGCGGCTGCAGATGGAGATGAAGGAAGATGATGTTTCGTTTCTCATGGTAAGGAGTCATCATGGTTCCATGGACTGGGGACTGATGTTCAGGAACCAGCAGGAGCTGTAGACCACTGGCCCCCACTGATCCAGTCTTCTGGTCGCTTCCTGGAATAGCTTACAGATGATTTTAATTGGATCAGAATTCCTGATGGTCTCTTCATTTCTCTCTCCTTCCCTCACCCCCTCCCTGCTTGCTCTTTCTTTGCCTGTCTTCTTTAGTCACTCCTTCTTTATATAGAGTATTTAAAAACTACACAGTTATTTAAGTTTTTAAATTTAAGTATGATGTCAGGATGACTCCATTCTCTATACCAAAAAAACAAAACAGAACATGTTGAATATATTTTCTTCCTCTTCTATTGATTTCATTTTTCACCTATGAGTCATTGGGTCTTTATGAAGAAAATTACCTAATATGAAAGCTGACTTGGAAACTGGTCAAAATAGAGAGGTATCTATTGGAGAACTGCAGGTCGCTCTAGAAAGGGGCATCCTTATCAAGCAGAGTGGGAAGGGGACACCTTCACCAGGCAGGATGTCACATCCTGATGGGGCCTTTGCATATTCTCAGGATCATACAGGCCCTGAACCATGATGTTGCCTCTTTCCAAAAATACCCCTGATTATAAAATCACTGAGTCAGACTTGACTTACTAGCAGTGGGTGGGTGGTGGATTCTAAAAGCTGGGCTCCTTGCTGCTTCTAGTTAGGAAACTGTGTTGTCTTGCTCAATACTGCAGTGTGATTTCGGGTATGATTTTTTGGCATCTATGGTTTTAGTTTTGTTTTGTTTTTTTTAATGAAGATGCAGTTATCTGTCACACAATTCATCCATTTAAAGTGTGCAGTTCAGTGACTTCAGTATATTCACAGAGTTGTACAACCGTCAGCACAATCAAGGTTAGGACATTTTCACCACCCCAAAGAGAAGCCCTGTTATTATCATTTAGAAGTTCGCCCATTCATTACTTTCCCCTCCAGTGCCTGGCAACCACTAGTCTACTTTGTGCCTCTGTGGGTGTGCTTAGTCTGGACCTGTCATATGAATGGAAGCATACAGTAAGGCACCCTTGGTGACTGGCTTCTTTCACAAGGTTCCTCTAACTTGAGCATGTATCAGTACTTCATTCTTTTTTTTTTTTGTAAAGCTTTTATTATGAATTGAGTGATAGTTTACATGGCAGAACATCAGTTTTGCACTCAACCCATCGTATTTTGTTTCATCGCAATGATTACAATCTCCTCCATGCGCCATCAGTTAACAATATTTGCCTCTATTTCCTTTTTTGGTTTGTTTGTTTTGTTTTGGATGTATACAAAAACACTCAGGAATACATAATCATTCAAACAACCCAAGGGCACATTCTGTAAGCGTGCCTCCTAGTTGCCAGCACACAACCTTTCTCTTTCCATGAGTCTGGAGTCCTCAGCTGCTCTCTCTCTCTCCATGTCATCATCTCTAACTCCATCTCTGGTGTCGCTGCTTCTATGGTTAGGGTCCCAAATTCTGCTCATGCTTGTCTCCCTTTATGGTCCGAGGGTCCTCTGTTCCAGGAATGTAAGATTAACTACTCCCCTCTCTTTGTCACATAATTTCTACCTCTACAGTTGTGACAGTCGCAATTAGTCATAACAATTAAGATTGGATCAAAAGAATCCTATCCCTGCCTCCTTACTCCAGACTCATCTAGACAAGATGAGGTTCATTCCTTTTTGATGCTGAATAATATTCCATTGAGTGGGTATACTACATTTTAGTTATCCAGTGATCAGTTGATGGATATTTGGTTTATTTTTGGTACTGTGGATAATGCTGCTACATTTCCGATTTTTAGCTACTATGGATAAGCTGCTATAAAGAAGTGGGCATATGTTTTAATTTCTCTTAGTTATATACTTAGGGTTGGGATTGCTGGGTCATATTGTGATGCTTTAGGATAAACACTGAACTGCTATTCTCAAGGTCGGCCGTTGAAACCCACCAGCTGCTTCTTAGACACCCTATACAAATCGCTGTGAGTCAGAACCAACTCAGTGGCACTTAACCACAACAAGGCAATCCTGTGTAACCTTTTGAGGAACAGCCAGACTTACACAAAGTGGCTGCACTAGTTTACGTTCCCACCAACCCTGTGTGAGGGTTCTGATTTTCAACACTTGTTATTATCTGTCTTTTAAAATTCTACCATCCTAGTGGTATCTTATTGTAGTTTTCATTTGCATTTCCTTGATGACTAATGATGTTTATTATCTTTCATGTACCTTTGAGCCCGTCTTTCTTCTTTAGAGAACTATCTGTACAGACCCTTTCCCCATTTTAAAATTGGGTTATTTGCCTTTTTTTTATTATTGAACTATAAGAGTTTTTCTTTTCTTTTAATATATTCTACATGCAAATCATTATCAAATATGTGGTGGTGGTGGTGTGCCGTGGAATTGGTTCCAACTCATAGTGACCCTGCATAGGGTTTCTGAGGCTGTAAATCTTTATGGGAGCAGAAAGCCTCATCTTTCTGCCATGGAACAGCTGGTAGTTTTGAACTGCTGACCTTGAGGGTAGCAGCCTGACTTGTAACCACTGCACTACTAAAGCTCTTTTCTCAGATAGGAGTACATGATTTGTAGGCAGTCCCCAATGGTTCTTATATAAATTGAATACTTTTTGTGTATGTTTTATTATATTAGTTTAATATCAGTGTCTTTATGAATCTGATCTTTAAACCTCTGATAATGATAATGATAATATCGCAAATTATGCACTGCAACATTTTATATAGCACATGGAGGCTTCAAAATGTTCATAGAAAGTTGAACTAAAAGATAATGGAATTTTCCCACAAAGTTTTGAAACCCCTTTGTATTACTAACAATAAGGTGTACTAAAAAAAGAAAATCCAGTTGGTTGTAAGCACAGTTTGTCATAACTCTAATACATCATAAATTGGGACCACAAACTTTTTTCCTATTCAGTGGGTTATTTTTTCACTTTCCTGATGGTGTCCTTTGAAACACAAAAGCTTCTGATTTTGATGAAGTATAATTTATTAATTTTTTTCTTTTTTTGCTTGTGCTTTTCGTATCCATTTTATGAAACCATTTCCTGTGAAAAATTATGAAAATTTGTGCCCATGTATTCTGAGAGTCGTATAGCTTTAACTCTTAAATTGAGGTCTTTGATCAATTTAGAGTTAATTTTTATGCGTAATGTGAAGCAAGAGTCCAACTTCATTCTTTTGTGCGTGGATATCCATTTGTCCTACCACCCTTGTCAAAAATTAATTGATAGGCTACAGTGTGAAAGCCATGGAGTGATTTGTGGAAAAAGAGGTGTGATGGCTTTTTTCACTTTTCTTTCCTCCTCTGCCCAGTCACACCTTCTCTGCCCAGCCCAGGAATCTCCAGGCGGGTGGAAGCGCACACCCAGAAGGGTCCAACATTGCACCCACAGGGTGTAATTTTCCCACAGCACAAAGAGGAAATCTCTGAGAGCCCCAGCGGTCCACAAGTTAATCCTTTGGTGGCTTCCTATGAGTCTGACTCTAGGATTTAGCCTTTGACTCTCCTATTTGGGCAGGAGCCTTTATTCCTGCCTTACCTAACAAGAGACAGCAGGTCTGGCCATACAACCAAACCACATTTGCACCTTGTAAAACCCCAACATAAAAGGGAAGAGCCAGCATTACTACTATATGTAAGGACACAGTCATTTAGAGAATTACACTGTGCATACACAGATACATAACTGACCTTCAGAGATAAAAATAGTGAACAATCTTTTTTCCATTCATTTTTAAATATCTATCTGTGAACCTACACGGGGGTGACTAGAGGGCAGACCTGAGCACGTGGACACCCCCACCCACTGCTGGAGGTTTCTATGGTGCACGCACACTGACCTGCACAGCAAAAGCTACTCGTCAGTCAGCTATGGTTTTATTTTTGTTTTTGAGTGGTGGATTTTGTCTCTGCTTTTATATTGTTTCTATTTGGGTCCTTTTGATCACACTTTTTCCCTGGGGGTGGGAGCTTTCTCTTCCTATGTTACCCAAGAAGAGACAGCAATCGTAGCCATATAGCCAAGTTACAAGCATACCTCATAATATCCCACCATCTGGACAGGAGCCAATACCAGCCGCTGCACATTACATAGATTGCCAACACTTGCTAAGATAGCTCACAGTTGAGTAATAAGAGATGTGAAAAGGGAAGCCTATCTCTAGTTCACATCCACCAGGAGAAACTCAGTAAGCTTAACAATACAGCAACATACATCCATTTAATCATTGAAAACACATCTAATTATTGAAAATGCCCAAGAAAAAACAACAAAAGATCTCAGTACATGTTCAGAAACAGAAAAGAGTAACTGAGACAGACATAGACTTCCCATTAGAAAAAGAACAGGCTTTGGATCTGCCTGAGAAGGAATTCAGAAGAATGATATAGAGGCAAATCCAAATACTTCACAGAGGGGTGGAGGAAAATAAAGAAGAAGATAGAAAAATGCTACAGGACAATCAAACAAGATAGATACAGCATTGGAAACAATTCAAAACCTGCAAAAAGAGGTCCAGATGATTAATAATGAAATATCAGAAATGGACAATACACTGAAAGGGCAAAGGAGTAGACTTGAAGAGCCGGAAGACAGATCTCTCAATACGGCCAAGATAGAAAAGCAAGCAAGAAAAAGGATTTAAAAAAATCTGAAGAAAGTCTTAAGATTCATGATGGATAACATGAAGAGGAATAACTTAAGAATTATTGGCATTCTGGAACAGGAAGAATCACAAAAGTCCACAGAGGAGATAGTTAAGGAGCTTCTGGAAGAAAATTTTCCATAATATCTTGAAGGATGAGAAGATAAGCATTCAAGAAGCTGAATGAACCCTAGGAAGGATAGATCCCAAAAGAAAATCAACAAGACATATCATAATCAAGCTCTCCAAAATCAAAGACAGGGAAGAGAAGTGTTACTTAAAAAGGCAAGCAAATCATATTAAGCTCTGACCTCTCAGCAGAAACCATGCAGGCAAGAAGGCAATGGTGAGACACATGTAAAACCCTAAAAGAAAAAAACTGCCAACAAGATTCATCTACCCAGCAAAGCTGTCAATCAAATACGATGGTGCAGTCAAAACATTCCAGGATAAACAGAAGCTAAGAGACTTTGTCAAAGCCAACCCAGCGCTTCACAACATCCTAAAGGGAGTTCTTTGGACTGAAAACCAACAAGAACAGACAACAACCAGAGATTGACAGACGTGGCAACACCACTTGGAACTCAATTGACAGATAGCAGAGTCCAGAACAGAACAAAATTACAACAAATTCAGAGGACCTGGGAGGTCAATTAAAGATCAAAATAATAACAATGTCAAAGAAAGGAAAATGTAGGAACAGAGATCCAGGTGGTGAGGAGGTCAGGCAGACTGCAGGATACAATTGTTGTTGTTGTTAAGTGCTGTTGAGTTGATTCCGACCCATAATGACCCTATATAGGGGTTCCAAGGAGCAGCTGGAGAGCCTGAGCTGCCGACCTTGCAGTTCAAACGGCTTTGCAGTCTGGTGCAGTAACCTACAGAGCCACACCAGGATACAATAGACAGTCTTAAATGGAGGGAAAAGTCAGACTATAAGGTAACCTCAAAGAAAGTTAATACTTCACAACATACCATGAAAATGAAGATCCAAGTAGAACAAGGAAACATTAAAACTAAGAAGAAACAAGAAACAGCACAAAAAACATGAACGCAGCATAAGAAGGCATGCAGAACAAAAATCAGTTGATAAATTGGAGGGGTTGTTTCTGGGCTTTCTGTTCTATTCCACTGAACTGTGTATCCTTACGGTAGTACCACATTATCTTGATTAATGTTGTTTTGCAGGAAGTTTTGAAAATGGGAAATAATGTGACCTCCAACTTTGTTTTTTTCCAAGATTGTTTTGGCTCTTTCGTATTCCTTGAATATCCGTGTAACGTTTTGCATCAACATGTCAATTTCTACAAAGAATTCAGATGGAATTTTGATACGGATGGCATAAAACCTGTAGATGAACTTGGGCTATATTGCCATCTTAACAATATTAAATCATCCAGCTCATGAACTAAGATTTTGTGTGTGTGTGTGTCTGTGTTTGTGTGTTGTTTTTTCTCTGTTTCAGAAGCACAAGAGTCGAAAACGACGGTAAGTTGCCAAGGCTGGTGGAGGCATGAAGAGCAGGCAGAAGTTATCAGGGTATAATCTTCAGTGGCTCCAGGGATCAGGCAGGTAATGAAGTGAACTGAGTATAACACTAGAGGAGTGGTGGAGACTGGCACCTTCAGGGAGCCCTTGTTTCAAGGCATTCCTGTTCTGATTTTGCATTGGGACATATAAAACTCAGCTGTTCTTCTGAGTGTGGAGGGTCACCATCCACCCTATGGGAGGAGATTGTGCTCTTCTGCACTTAGCTCAGACTTCCCACTTAGTTACCTTATCTGAGAGCCTCAGAGCACACCTGTCTGAATGAGAAAGAGCTTTGTTTCAGTCAGAACTGTCAAAAGATGGACAAAAGTACTTTGGGCAGTAGTGAGGGTTTGGAGGTATTCAAGCACAGGCTGAATGACAGTTTGTTAGTGGTTAAGCAACAGCTGGGACTACTTTAGGCCCTGTCCAACCCCAGACATCTGTGAGTGGTTGTGTAAGCATGGTTTCAGTCAGAGAACCTCAGACTTGTGTTTACCCCTTCTGGGGTAGGGCCAGTCCTGAGACTCAATCTCTGGAGAGTGTAGCAGTCCAGTTTGCTCCTGACTCATCTCCCAACAGAGCCCACTCCAGATTTGTGTTGGGGAAGGTGGCCCAGAAGCTTAGATCTGAGACTAAGGAAGGAATCCTGTTTTCAGTAGATCCAGGATCTGGGTGACCCCTACCCACATGCCCATTTCTGCTTCCCCAGACTCTTCTGCACCATGGAGCCAGAACCCGTCCAGTCCGGCATGCTCATTGACATCTGCAAGTACCTAGACTCCCTGCAGTACCGTGTCTGGAAGAAGATGCTCATGTCTGTTGAATCTGGTATGTGGAGGTAGAGTGTGGGATAAATGTTACAGACTGGGAAAGGAGCCCAGCCCGCTGGGCCAAGAGCCAGCTGATCTCACTTTTCCCAGATTCCCTTCTCATCACACCTCTCCTCATTCATCTCAGCTCACCTCTTCTCAGCAGTCCCAGTGACCCCTGGTCCTTGTCCTTAGTGTTCCCACCGCTCCTGATAGAACGTTCCACTTTGGGCATCCTCTTCATTCAGATTCCTGTCCGTTTACACAGTGAAATCCCTTACTTCAAATGCCCCTTCAGTTCCAGTATCCCCTACCTCTCCCGAGGTGAACTCAGGCCACACAAATCTCTGGGTCACAGCTTTACTGGGAGAAACGTTAGTGACCCAGGGCAGTGTCATATGCTTTCTAAGATGTCACAGGCATCACGTGAACATCAGGAGTCCCTGCTTCTTAGCTAGGGCTGCTTCCTTCCTCGGCTGGGCCATGTGGGGGTGGAGTGGGGGATGGGCACATCAGTTGGCATGGCAGAAAGAATGGATGTGAGATTTGCTGACCTCCCCATCCCCTACTTTTCCCCTCTGCTCTTAGTACCTTTTAGCTTCGATCCCAACACAGCGGCCGGCTGGCTTTCCGTCTCTGATGACCTCACCAGCGTCACCAACCATGGCTACCGGGTGCAGGTGGAGAACCCAGAGCGCTTCTCCTCAGCGCCCTGCCTGCTGGGCTCCTGCGCCTTTTCCCAGGGCTCCCATGCTTGGGAGGTTGACCTGGGAGGACTGCAGAGCTGGCGGGTGGGTGTGGTGCGGGTGCGCCCAGACGCCAGCACAGAAGGACCCTCACACAGCTGTTACCACGACACTCGCTCAGGCTTCTGGTACATGTGCCGCACACAGGGGGCGGAGGGGGACCACTGCATGACCTCAGATCCATCTACACCACCCCTCATCCTGGGCGTCCCACGCCGCCTGCGCATAGAGCTAGAGTGCGAGGAGGGCGAGCTGTCCTTCTATGATGCTGAGCGCCACAGCCACCTCTACACCTTCCATGCCCGCTTCGGGGAGGTGCGGCCCTACTTCTACCTGGGGGGCATGCAGGTGGATGGCCCACTGGAGCCACTGCGCATCTGCCCCCTGCGTATTACCATCAGGGAACAGCTGGACGGATGAAGCTGGGCTGGGTACTATCAGGGTCTTGTTTCATGGCCTTTTTTCCCTTGAGTGCCTGCATTTGCTTCAGTACCTCTCCACCAATCCCACCTTGTAGCCAGGGTACCTCCTACTGTTTACCTTGCCCCTTTTGTTAACTCCAGACCCCAAATCTCTGTCTTCATTTTTGCTTCCTTCTTTACCCACAAGTCCTTAGGTGGCTCAAGGGTTTGAAATCGACTCCTTACCTAAAGGTTACTGGTTCAACCTCACCCAGCAGTTCTATGCAAGAAAGGGTTGGTCGTCTGCTGTCATAAAGGTTATGGCCAAGAAAACCCTATGGAGCATTTCTATTCTGTAACATAAGGGGTCACCTTGAGTCAGAATCAACTCAGTGGCAGTGGGTTTGTCAGCCATCTTTAGGTGCCATGCCAGCCCCAGGCTTTCCCTAGAGCCAGTGTTACTTTCAAAGATACGGGCTAATTTCAGCATTTCTGAGGACAATGTTTGCTTCTAGAATGGATCCCATGCCGTGGCTCTGGGCAGGACCAGGATCCACTTTCCTACTATTTTTTGACAGGTGTTTGTGAGCTAGCTTCCACAAAGTCTTTCTAGGGAGCGCCACTGGAGAGAGAGGGCTACCCATCAGATTAGCTCCAGTCAGCCACACTTGTACAACTTCCAAGACACTTCAAAACAAAATGTTCAACACCGTGGCGTTAGGGGCCCCTCCCTTCGGTGGGGGTGGGCCTGTTTTCTTATCTCAAAGAGATGGAGCTGATGAGCAGACGATGGCAGTCTGTCAGAGCTGTGGAGGAAACAGTCTGAGTGATTCTTACATTGGTGTGAGTCAGAATGGGAAGGGGAAGAAGGAAAGGGAAGATGCGGTCTAAGGTGGTGCCCGTGAGTGAGGGGCACTGGCTGTCAGCCCTCATCTGGCCCCCTTGACTTCGCTCTCCTCAGCCTACCTTGTCCTTAGTCTCTTGCTCTGCCACTTCTTGCTTGTATCCCTGTGTTCTTCCCTCTGGTACTTCAGACTTTTTTTCTACACATGCCTACAGACAGTTTTTAATTGTCACCTTGCTGGATGTCTGGATGCAACGCTATATAGGAAATGCTTTCCTGAGAAGCAGTGTTCTGACCCAGGACCTGGCATCCTCCTGCCTGCGCACTACATTTCACAGAGAAGAAGAATCCAGTCCACTGTACCATGCTTATCCCATAAAGCAGGGGCCACAGGGAGAGACCACGGAGGAAATGTCACCGTGAAGTGGGCCAATTGTAAGCGGGTGGAACTGAATGGTGGGGTGAATGGCTAAGGGCATACCCTGTCTCAAGACCCTTGGATTCAACAAAGTTTACACATCTGAGGCCAATGTCTCTACTGGAAAATATCTAGTGCATAAAATACTTCTTTGTAATAATAATAAACTTGACCTGAAATTATTTTGTCAGGCAAAATCAACTTTTAAAAATGCTTTTTGGTGGTTTTTTTTTCTATTTTGATGTTGGGAGGATTTTTTTTAGGATAATTTGGATAGCTCACACTTCTGGTTTGGCGCTATGGATTAATGTGCTGGACTGCAAGGTTGGTTTGAACTGCAAGGTCGGTGGTTCAAGCTCACCAGCTATTCCTTTACACGGGGTTGCTATGAATTGGAACTAACTTGATGACCCTTAACAACACCACCTCTAAAGGAGTTCTTGTGTGGCAGTAAGATAAGTACTAGACTGCTAAATGAGGTCTGGTTCCAACCCACGAGCTGCTCGTTGGAAACCCTTTACAGTGTCTGAGTCATAACTGACTTGTCGGCACTTCACAACAGCAGTGTTGTTTTATGAGCCGTGAGTCGGTTCCAATTCAGAGCGACCCTGTACAGTGTTTCCAAGGTTGTAAATCTTTACGGGAGCAGGAAGCCTCATCTTTCTCCCGCGGAACAGCTGGTAGTTTTGAACTGCTGACCGTGAGATTAGCAGCCCAATTTGTAACCAGCACACTACCAGAGCTCCTTAACAACAATAGGCATCTTAAAAAACTGAAATTTGAATGAAACCCCACTTTTTCTTTTGGCATTTCCCATTCAGTGTTCTAGTTAGCCAACATGCTGACTATCATTTAGTAGCATCTTGAGTTGCATATTAAGATGAATTTTGTTTTAAATGAGCAACACAACATCTAAAATATGTAAAGCCTCATCAGAAGTTTTGGAGGAGAAATATTAGGGCTTGGGGATGGTTTTTGTGCTTAGCTTCTTCATCTACTCCTACTATGTAAGCAAGAAGAAAAACAGTTGTCGTTTTTTAATGTTGGTCACAGGACCTGAGTAGAAGGACCAGGGTCAGCTCCAGCGCCACCTCTCGTTGTTTCTCTTGTGGATAACATCCACAGCAGAACGAATCCAACAGTTTCTGTGGGTACAGTTAGTGACATTGATGATACTCTTCCAGTTGTGCATCCATTCTCATCCCACCTTTCCAAATTGTCCTTTCCCCGTCACATAAACTCACTGTCCCCTAAATTTCTCTAACCTTGTGAGTTGCTGTTACCAATTTGATCTTAGAGGTAGATGGTTCTTTAAAAGAGCATCAAGCTCAAGGCTGTTAGGTGCCGTCAAGTCTCAAAGCGACGCTGTGTGCACACAACAAAACATGCGCTGCCTGGTCCGCCATCCCCACACTGGTATGTTTGAGCCCATTGTTGCTGCAAGTTTGTCAAGGCAGACATTCTATAATATTGAAGCCAAACTATTACCTGGTTTACAGCGCCCTGGTGGCACAGTGGTTAAGTGCTCAGCTGCTAACCCAGCCAGCTACTTAGAGGAGAAAGATGTGTCAGTCTGCTTCCACAAAGAGTACAGACTTGGAAACACGATGGGACAGTTCTGCTCTGCCCTAAAGGGTGCCAATGATTTAGAATTGACAGCAATAGGTTTGTTGGGCTTTCTATGAGGAATGTGGGACATTTGATTTAAAGACTTAAGGAGTTACTTTATCTTAGGGCGCTTGTTTCTACTGTGCATTTAACAGCTCCCAGGATCCTGCTGTGGCACTGTAGAATAAGCACTGGACTACTAACCACAAGATTGGTGTTTCAAACCCAACAGCACTTAACAACAGCAACAACAGGATAGCACACCCTGAGCCCTCACTGTATGGCTTTCTTGAGGCAGTAGTCAGCACAGGCCCTTCACTGTGTCCCAGTGGCCAAAGGTGACACAGAGCAAGGACTGCTAGGCTTCTATCACTAGTCTACTTGGGGCCTATGTGCTCTGAGGGGCACTCAGGATCCCTGGGAGCCCCACCATCTGTCTCCCAGGACACATCTAAAACTAAGCTCCTTTCATATCCCACTTCCTGCTTTCCTTAGCTATTCTTGAAAACTCACTTTGTTAACACTTTTGAGATATAATTCACATGCCATTTAGCTCACCTGTTTAAAGTGTACAGTGGTTTTTAGTATATTCAGAGTTGTACCATCACAGTCCTGGTGTGGCGCTATGGGTTAATGTGCCAGACTGCAAAGCCGTTTGAACTGCAAAGTTGGCAGTTCAAGCTCACCAGCCACTTCTTGGAAACCCTATAGAGGGTTGCTATGGGTCGGAACTGACTCAATGGCCCTTAACAACAACAACCATCATTACAATCAATTTTAGAAGATTCTATCACCCTAAACAAGAAAACTGCCGCCTTTATTAGTCATTCCTAATTTCCTGCCAACCCCTAGCCCCAGGAAACCAGGAACCGACGCATAATGTTTTCAAGATACATCCATGTTATAACATGTCTTACTATTTTTTTTTTTCCACTTTGTTGCCAAATAATATTCCAGAGTATGGGTATACCATATTTTATTTTTCATTCTTGTTACTGCTCAGCCTTCCGCAATTCCTGGGGCACTTACACATCCCTGGCAGTTGGCATCTGTTGGTTCTCCTTCCTGGTTTGCTTGTGGCCCTCCCTTCTTGCCCACAGTTGCCTCTCTCAGCTTGGTGGTACATTCTGAGAGTTTCCCGGGCCTCCTCGACTTGCCACTGCACTTGTTCAGCAGGAAGAGCTGCCTTTACACAAAGATTTTGAGTGTAGGAACCACATTCTCTTCACCTTTACATTCCTAGATCCATGTAAATTGCTGGTATGTAATAAATGATTATTGAACAGACATACCATTGAACACGTGCACTGGCGTTCAAGGACGCTGGTTCTCAAAATGACCTAGAGCAATTGGCAGCACCTTGGGTGTAAGGAGGAAAGTGACATGAAATCTCAAATCAGTCCAGAATCCAGATACCAATTCCATGATGTATGAGCTACCCCAACCTTCCCCCGCCATCCCTCCAGTCCCCCAGTATTTCTTAACCTCTGCTCCCTTGTATAAGTGAGGATTGTAATATCTACCTCAAGCTGTTGTGGGAATTTGATGAGGTCATCTTTTTTGGTATCCTGAATGTAACATAGACTTAATGTGTTTGATAATTTCTTCAGAAAGCAGGAAAAGGTTGAAATAATGATTCATAATAATGAAGAATCCCAAGGAAAAGTGATTAATATAAATTATATTGAAAGTGCTCAAATTTCTTCAGATGTGTATATAAAGCTTATGCATATTTATGTAGAATTTCAGTAACATGGAATTGTTATGCTATATTAATTAGAAAACAAGAGTTATTCATACAGATGTAATACAAAAACATGCAGGCTCTCGTTCTGTGTTTTTTTTTTATAATTTGTATTAGATTGATGTTAAGTGCCTTTGAGTTAGTTTTGATTAATAGGTGACTGTAAAGAGTTTACGAGGAGAAGGGCTGGTGGGTTGAACTGTTCACCTTGCGGTTAATGGTCCAGTGCTATCCTACAGTGTGATTGTTGTTATTGTTAGGTGCCATCGAGTCAGTACCAATTCATACAGTGTGATACTAGGACTTTATTATCTGATTGTTCTTGTTAAGTGCCGTTGAGTTGGTTCCAATCCATAGTGACCCTGTATAGGGTTTCTGAGGAGCGGCTGGTGAGCTTGAACTGCC